CCCTCCCTCCGTCCCTCCCTCCCCCCTCATTATGATGATGAGGATGATGATCGCCATCATCAGCAGCATCATTATCATCAGCATCGCCATCATCATCATCATCATCATCAGCATCAGCATCAGCATCGGCATCATCATCACCATCTCATCATAACATCAGCATTCGCATTGTCATCATCAACAGCATCGCTCGCACCATCATAGTCATCACCAAGATCATTATTTACATTATTGCCATTATTGTCAGCATATGATTAGTAGCATCATCATCATCATCATCAGCATCAGCATCAGCATCATCATCATCATCATCATCGTCATCATCATCATCATCATCATCATTACCATCGTCACCATCATCATCGTTACCATCACCATCATCATAAACATCATCATACTCATCAATAACATTGTCATCATCATCACCATCATCAACACCACCATCATCATCCGCATCATCGTCAGAACCATCACCATCACTATCGCCATCATCATCAGCACCACAATCATCATAGTCATCATCAGCATCATCACCGACATAATCATCATCACCACCATCATCAGCATCATCACAATCATCATCATCAACATCGCCATCATCATCAACATCATCGCCACCATCATCGTCGCCATCGTCATCATCATCATCATCATCGTCACCATCATCATCATCATCATCAGCATCATCATCATCATCATCATCATCGTCATCATCATCATCACCATCACCATCATCATCATCATCATCATCATCATCATCATCATCATCATCATCATCATCATCATCATCATCATCATCCTCTGCCTTCTCCTCCTCCTCCTCCTCCCCATACGGGAGACACGTCCATGTGCCGCTACTCTTGCCCTGTCTGGCGGGTGCCCCAGCTCATGCCTCGCTTCGTTGCGGCTCGCACAGGCGGGCTGTGCGCTGCAGCGACTGAGGCTTGAAATTTGCAAGAGCTTCACGGATGGAAGGCGAGCGGCTTTCAAAATGTGGCTATCGCCTTAGCGCCGCGTACATTCGCCTTCAACATTTGCAGGAGCTTCGCGGACTCATGCCGGTTCCTTTTCAAAATGTGGCTCTCGCCTTAGTGCCGCGCACATCCTTCCCCAAACTTGCAAGAGCTTCACGGATTGAGGGCGGGTCGTTTTCAAAATGTAGCTATCGCCTGAGCGTCGCGCACATTCGTCTTCAACATTTGCGGGAGGGTCCCCGATTGAGGGTGGGTCGTTTGCAAAATGTGGCTCTTGCTTTAGCGCCGCGTACATCCGTCCCCAAACTTGCAAAGGCTTCACGAATTGAGGGCGGGTCGTTTTCAAAATGTGGCTATCGCCTGAGCGCCGCGCACATTCGTCTTCAACATTTGCGGGAGGGTCCCGCATTGAGGGCGGGTCGTTTTCAAAATGTGACTCTCGCCCTAGCGCCGCGCACGTGCGTCTTGGAAAAACTGCGAAGGAGTTTAACATATTCCGGGCGGTTCCTTCTCAAAATGTGGCTCTCGCCGTGGCGCCGCGTATATCCGTTTCGGAACAAGTGCCAAGAAATTCCGAGGATTCCCAATGGATAAGGTGCCAAAAATGGTGCGTTAGAGCGATTCAGAGCTGTTAGGGCGCACCAGTTATTCTGATTCGCGGTGTTGAACCCCCAAGAATGGTATTCTGGCACGGCTCAGGATCGTCAAGGCGCAGGAGTCCGGTTGATTCGTGGCGTTGAAGTTCCGAACGTGGTGTTTTTGGCACGCTTCACGATCTTCGAACGGTTGTGTCCCAGCGGGGCAATTCCCTCAATGGGCATGACTCCTTGTATGGGCCTGTGAAGAAGGAGCTTGGAAGGAGGGCGCATTTCAGCATCGTTTGCACGGGTCTATTCTCCTCCCGCCTCCCTCCTCTCTCTCTCTCTCTTTTTCTCTCTCTCTCTCTCTCTCCACCCCAATGTGACACGCCCCTCACCCGCTTCGTAGCCCCGTAGGGAGCTCCACCGAAGGCCTCGTGGCTGCCTTCGTATGCCGCCGCCAACCCGCTTTTGAATATCCTTTGCACGCTTCGTGGCCGCATAGGGAGCTCCATCGAAGGCCTCAATGGCTGCGTTCGCATGTCGCCGCCACCCCACCTTGGCACATGCCTCAAACGTTTCGTGGTCCCATATGGAGTTCCACCGAAATCCCCAATGGCTGCGTTCGCGTGCCGCCGTCACCCCGCTCTGGCACACCCCTCACAGTTTTGTTGCGCCATGGGAAGCCCCACCGAAGGGGCCAGTGGCTGCGTTCGCATGCCGCCGCCACCCCACCTTAGCAAACCCATCACACGCTTCGGGGCCCTATTGTGAACTCCACCGAAGACAATACTCACAGACGCGGCGCTCACAACTGCATGTGGTTGGGTCCTCTGTCAAACTAACTCTAAATGTAAGAACGCAGGCCCACCTGTTAACGCCATTGCCGAATCCACTGGGCTTGGTGATTGTGATGGTTTCTCATAATTGATGAAATGTTAGTTTGACGTGTTTGGCTTTCGGATGGTCTCACAGCGACCGTGGCTCCACGACGACTTCTCATCATTTGTAAGTGTACGGGGCCCCCGCCCAGCTTTCAACAATATCCCGAAACATGTTAAGCTTTGTGTTGCCAATGGTCTCGCAAAGCTTATTCGATGTTGGTGTTGACGTTGTATGTGTTGTTTGGCTGTCTCACACGGAACGTAACTCCAAAATGTGTCCTTCTTGCTTTGTGCACGTGCCGCTCATATTTTGACAACATCCTGAAACATGTTGAGCTTCGCTTTGTTAGCATCGCAAAGGTCTTGGGTGTGGTTTGGATTGTCTCATGTTTGTGCAAGGGTGTCGCGTAGGGATGGTGCCTGCAAGACGCCGTCTTACTGGTTGTAACTGTAGATAGATGGTATTGCCCCCCCCCCTCATCTCCATCACTCACAATCCTCTCCGTCCTCCGTCCTCTCCCTCACTCACCAACTCATCTCCCCCCCTCGCAATATTTACGCATCTCCCTCACTCACTCCCTCACCCCTCCATCCTCTCCACCCCTCCCCTCCGACGTTCACCCCCTCCCGCCAACGAAAATAACATATACGAATCTCTTACGTCTTAATTAGCATAGCCGCCGACATTTCCATGAGCATCTACGCCAACGCTTCTGTCAAACGACCCAGGGGGCCCTACCGGACCGTGAAATACGACCACTACCACCGCGCCAGTGGCCACAACTAATTGTACTACGGCTATTGCAGCCACGCCCAAAGGTACGACAACACTTAGAACCCATACTACGATCAATACTAATGCAACTTCCACTGGTTCTCGTATTACTACTGCTCCTACTACGAGTCCTACTGCTACCTATTACTACTCCTGCTCCGCCTCCTACTCCTACTACGGCGACTTCCACTACTACTACTGCCAACGCTACTACGACGACGGGTACTACTACTACTACTACCACTACCACTACCACTACTACTACTACTACTACTACTACTACTACTACTACTGCTGCTACTGCTGCTGCTACTGCTGCTACCACTGCGACGGCTACGGCTACGACTACGACTACTACTACTGCGACGACTACTACTACTACTACTACTACTACTACTACTACTACTACTACTGCTACTGCTACTGCTACTGCTGCTACTACTACTACTACTACTACTACTACTGCTACTCACAGTACTGCTGCTATAACTGCTACTGCTACCACTACTACGGCTACTGCTACAACTAGTACTACCACTTCGACTACGGCTGCGGCTGCTACTGCTACTAATGCTACTATCAATGCTACTATTACTACTACTACTACTACTACTACTACTACTACTACTACTACTACTACTACTACTACTACTACTACTACTCCTACTGCTACTACTACTACCCTACTGCTGCTACTACTACTACTACCACTACTACTACGATTAGTATTCGTGCCACTACTGCTACTACTACTACTACTGCTGCCTACTACTACTACTCCTACTACTACTACTACTAACTACTACTACTGCTACTGCTACTACTACTACTACTACTATACTACTACTACTACAACAACAACTACTACTACTACTACTACTACTACTACTACTACTACTACTACTACTAACTACTACTACTACTACTACTAACTACTACTACCCGACTACTACTACTACTACTACTACTACTACTACTACTACTACTACTACTACTACTACTACTACTACTACTACTACTACTACTACTACTACGACTCGACTACGACTACGACTACGACTACGACTACGACTACGACTACGACTACGACTACGACTACGACTACGACTACGACTACGACTACGACTACGACTACGACTACGACTACGACTACGACTACGACTACGACTACGACTACGACTACGACTACGACTACGACTACGACTACGACTACGACTACGACTACGACTACTACTACTACTACTACTACTACTACTACTACTACTACTACTACTACTACTACTACTACTACCACGATTACTACCACTACTCGCACTGGAAGGCTTGGTAACGCCTCGCACAACACCTCCATGGGCACTAGCCCAATTAAATATACAGGTGTATCACAAAGGCCTTCAAGCGTGTTCTGCCAACCGCTAGGGGTGGGTGAAGAAAACACTCAGCTCCAGGAAACTTAACCTTCAGAAGGGCAGGCTTCTCTTTACACTTGCTAAGGTCACGTTTGTACCAGAGCTTGAGCGCTCATCCTGCTCATCCTTCGCCTCCTCCTCCCGCTCTTCCCCCTCTTCCCTCTCCTCCTCCTCCTCCTCCTCCTCGACCCCATCCCCGTTCTCCTCGTCCTCCTCCTTGCCCTCGTGCTCCTATTGTTCCTCTTCCAGCTCGTTTTCAAATGTAGAATAATCACAGCCATCATTAAGCATCATCGCTATCAACAACAACAGCACCCCAACAGCCGTCCCTTCCTTATCATCATAAACCTGCTGCTCCATCTGATCATACCCATGCTGTCCTTCCAGGGAATGTCGTCGGCTTGCCACCTGACGACGAACCAGTGCACGGACCTGTCGTGGGGGATTATAGAAATTGGAGACTGACCCTTGCCTCCTCCTATTCCGTCTCCTCCTCCTCCTCTTCCTCCTCCTCCTCGTCCTCCTCCTCCTTCTCCTTCTCCTTCTCTTCCCAATATTCCTCCTTTGGTTCATCCGCCACCGTGCATCTGGGCACGGAGTGGGTGTCCGTAGGTTTTTTGCCTCATCATCGGGACGTCAATCCTCATTCCTGAGGAATCTCCGAGACACGACCCGGAATCCCACCAGCCCTCTGGGCGCAGGTGGTCTAACGAGATTCCTCTTCCCTCTTCCAAAGGCCCTTCTTCCCCTACGGGGAGGGGTTTACCCCTCTCCTTACCACTCCCCAGGACATCTTTGGGGGTTTCCGCGAGGTCTCAGGGCATCCAACACGGCCTCGGCGAGGAAACCGACATCATTCGTTTTACTGAATTTTTGGCCCCAGCTTGGCCGGTGTGGAGGGGAACTGAACGTTATCCGCCTTTGATCGAAGGCCTTCAAGATGGCCCCAAGACGCCTTCCAGGGCTCCCAAGGGGACCCCTCTTGGAGCCCACGACCTCTAAAACAACAACACCACACCAAGAGAACTCCAATACCCCCCAAAGAGCCCCAGGAAACCTCCAAGAGGCGATTTTGAGGGTTCCTGGGAAGGGGCCGAAATCGAAAACCCCCCTATCATTTGATCGACTTCCTCCTCCTCCTCCTCCTCCTCCTCTTCCTCCTCTTCCCCTCGCCCCCACGCGGCCCCCAGGGATTGCCCGAAGAGGCCTTCCAAGGTCACCCCTTTGCACACGAGATCCGTCGGTTCATCCTGCTTGCTCGCTTTGTTTCCCTAGATGTGTCCCTTCGTCCCCTTTCCCGTCAGCTCTCGTGGGCAGGGTTTCTGAATGGGTTGGTGGCGGTACGTTTGGTCTGCGGGCTCGCGAAGCAGGTCGAAAGCCGTCCGAACACTCGCCGGGCCGCGACGAGGCAGCAAGAATACAGAGGCAAGCGAAGCGAGCGCGCGGGCAACCACTCAAAAGAAGAGCCAGATACGAAACTCCCAACCCGGTGGCGTGGAGATCCCGGTGGCGACCATCAAGTAGGCGCAGCCAAAAGGGCGCGGCGGCGCGACCATGAACACGCAGAGGTCGAACACTCGGTGTGAGTCGGCACAAGGCCCGTCAGATACGAGCAGGACCGACACGCACACCCGGACGACGTCCGTGCCGTAGGCGACACAAGTGCATCGTGTTAGCGCAAGAGTGAAGAGGGGCAGCCTCGTCACAGACAGGAGTGCAAACGGCAGTACCTCCTGTTTGTACAGCAGTGGCACATGTCGAAAGCGAAGTCCTTGTAGAAGAAAGCAGCCGACGGGCGCACAGAGCCACACATGCCGAAGTCCTAGCACCGAAGAGGACGGCAGCGTAGCGAGACCCAACTGAACCCGAACGGTCACCAGTGGAGGCCGACACCAGACAGGAGCAGTCCAGGGGCCACCTGACCGCCCATCCCCAATGTGATCCTTGCATGGAATCCTTACGGTCACCAGTGGGGGCCGACACCAGTGGGGGCCGACACCAGCCAGGTGCAGGCCACGGGCCACCTGACCGCCCGTTCCCAGTGTGATCCCTGCATGGAATTCAAGCTGTCAGAGCACCATCAGACAGCGGTATTGGCGGAAACCCCAGCCGCGTGGGATAAACCCGGTGAAACAATGGAGAGGAGGGGAACTGCACGCCAGGCACGGTAGGCACCCCGGTGTGGCAGCTAAGCGCTGCGGCATTAGGATGCAGGAGGGGAGGAAAGGAAGTGCACGCCAGGCACACACGCGGAAGGAGAGGAGGGGAGAAGAAAAGAGCCACGAGCATCGGAACCCCACTGAACCCTTTCGGCCATCAGGCAGTTGGTGGGGATACGCGAAGCGTGAAGAATTGCCAAATCTCTTGTGGGTTCCCGCGTGCCCCCTGGGGCTTCCCGCGTGACCCCAAAGACGGTCCCAGAAGCCTCCCAGACGTCCCAGGAAACCACCAAGAGCATCCCCAAGAGGGGCCCAAGAGGCCAACATCGTCGAATTCTGATCGGAAAACCTACATTTGTATCATGCACGTTCTTTCGGCTTTCGCGGCGTTGAAGACGGCCCCAGAATACCCCGAGACTGCCCCAGCACGGCCCGACAGGTTCCCAAGAGGCGCTCGATAACGGCTCAAGAAGGCGCCAAGACGGCCCAAGAGGCTCCCAAGACGGCCCAAGGGTCGGCCCAATGAGGGGCCCAAGAGGAGGAGCCTGAACCAACAATCCGAGCCTTCCGCCCTAAAACGGCCCCAGGGGGGCCCAAGAGGCGCTCAACAGGGCCCATGGGGCCCCCAAGAGGCCGCCAAAGCTCAAAAGAAGCTCCAAGTACCACTTGAGGCATGTAACTTCTAACCCGCAGCCCAGGCACCAAGGGTCTCAGGCCGACAACCAAAACACAGTGGCGGGATGGGCCGAAGGCCACTGTATCCGCCGCCCCCTGTCGATTCATCGCAAGGGTGCCTGGCGTTCTGGACCTCTCGGTTTTGGTTTTGGTTCTTTTTCCAAAAGAACCCCCCCTGGCGCTTCGGCCCGTCCTGCCGGCCGCCCCCCAAGACCCGCAAGACGCACATGCCATCGCCCAATCCCAATTCGTCCTCCAAGACGGCCCAACATGGCCTCGAGGATGGTCACGTTGGCCCAAGATGGCCTCGAAGATGGTCCAAGATGGCCTCCAAGTCCACCCAAGATGGTCCAAGACGGCCTCCAAGACGGCCCAAGAGGGTCCAAGATACCTCCAAGTTCGCCCAAGAAGCCTCCAAGACGGCCCAAGAGGCCTCCAAGAGGTTCTCCAGGAGGGCCCGCAGAGGCCAACATCGTCCACTTTACGATGGTTTTGGAAGGATTTGTTTTTTTTTTTTTTGTCTTTTCGGCTTCCCGACGCTCCAAGACAGCCCAGGAGGCCTCCAAGAGCTCCCCAAGACGGCCCGAGAGGCCTCCAGGAGCGCTCCAAGACGGCCCCAAGACGGCCGCAAGAGGGCCCAAACACGGCCCAAGAGACCTCCAAGACGCCCAAGATGGCCTCCAAGACGGCCCCGAGGCGCCACCAGAGGCCCACAAGGGGCCCCAAGAGAACCCAAGATAGCCCCAACATGGCCTCCAAGACGATCCCAAGATGGCCCAATCGAGCCCAAGAGTGCCTCAAGAGGCTCCGAAGAGGCATCCTCCCCCTTTCTCCTTTTTCCTCCTTCTCCTCCTCTTCCTTTTCCTCCCCCACGTGTTCCCCGAAGGTTTTCCAAACCGACTCGGGGAACACGGTCCGATAGCTTGGCCAAGCTCTAGCCCAGCTGTCGGCCACATAGGCGCTTCCACAAGGGCAGGGGGCGGCGGTGATTCGCCGTAGGCGTGTTCGATATGTATATATGTATATATAGAAATATTTACATATGTACATATATATAAACATATATATACATATATATATGTATGTATATGTGTATATATATATATGTATATATGAGCTGCCGGGGGCATCTACCTCGATCGAGAAGAGGAAGAGGAGAAGGACGAGGAGGAGGAAGAGGAGACGAAACAAAGAAAGAAGATTTCGTTGTCGCCGCCGATGTCGCACAGATTTTTCCCTACCTAGGCTCTGCCTAGAAAGGTTCTTGCTCTCTGGGCTTAGGGCAGTGGAAAGCGCCCCGGGCGGTTCCCCCAGTATCCGCCCCGCGGTTCCCCCAGTTGCGCCCCCTGGGCTCACCCAGCTTAGCTAAGCTAAGCTTAGCTGAGCTTAGCTTATCTTATCGTATCTTAGCTTATCTCATCTTAGCTGAGTGTTGCACAGCCTTGCTCAATGCCAAATCGTGCGGTGTAGACCGGATACGGAGCATTCTCAAGCACACCCGGTGAGCGAATGCGAAAACATGCGTGTGCGTGTCTGTGCGCAGGCAAAGCAACAACAAAATCAAGCAAAAGCAACAGCAAAAACAACAGCAACTCAAAAGCAACAGCAAAAGCACAAGCAAAAGCAAAAGCAAAGGCAAAAGCAAAGACACAAGAGCAAAAGCAAAGGCAATGCAAAGCAAAAACAAAACCAATGCGAAAGTGTGGACGTAGATGTAGATATAGCTATAGATGTAGATGTAGATGTAGATGTAGGTGTAGATGTGAATGTAGATGTAGATGTAGGTGTAGATGTAGGTGTAGGTGTAGATGTAGATGTGAGTCTCGCTGTTGATGTTGATGTAGATGCATATGCAGGTGTAGATGTAAATGTAGCTGTCGGTGTAGATGTAGATGTTGCTTTCCTAAATGCTCCAACTCCTAGGTAGAGTCGCACTGGGATAATCGTGGTCTTTCGGCCGCCCGAGGCCGTCCAGGAATCGTTTTCGGTGCCAGGGACCACCGCCGAAAGTCCGGGATGAGGATCGACCTCCCTGGCAAGTGCCACCCCTTCTCAAAAGAAGGAACACGGGGTGCATCGAGGCTCGAAGCATGAGACTCCTAGTTCTTGGGCGCTCTCCGCCCCCTCTGGGCCTTCAGGAAGCTCCTCGTCGACAAAGCTGGGTCCAATCTCGAACTTCTGGCCGGACGCAGCCCCAGCTGGGTCTCAACGATCCCCGAGCCTATCCAGGATGTTGAAAAGGAGGGCTGGGACAGGCCCCGCGAAGGACCCAAGAAACCTACATATATAGACGAGCGCGTTCCACTACTCGCAAAGTAATACTCGCAAATGGCCTGATTCCCCGCGGGGGATCTACGATAAAGCAGACTTGTGTTTTTGGGACGCTTGCGATTAGGCACTCTGCGAGTAGTGGAACGCGCTCGGTGAGCATAAGACCACTAAAAACTTCGAAACAATCCCCCACAAGGCCCCCCCTTGAACCCCACACGCTACGCAGGACAGGCCGACACCACAAGATTGCCCGGCGATCGCGCGCGTTCCGCGAATTCTGTCGTTCGCTCTTGCTACCGCCCCACGGGGTGGGCGGTGCGGCGTAAG